CCCCAAAACCCCAAAACCCCAAAACCCCAAAACCCCAAAACCCCAAGTTTTATGGTTATTAATTAATTATATAAATGTTCACAAGGTTGTCATATAGAATACTCGCTCCCTCAGTCAGGGCTCTGAGGACGAATTTAATCAGCAAGCAAAGCTCACTGTGCCCCTGGCTAACCAAGAGGCATTTCTCAGGACAAATTTCCCCATACTCTCGAGAACTGGTAGATTTCATTAATAAAATATATTTTTAGAACACATGCTCATCCTTTGGTTATGAAGAGTACGACAATGCTCTATATAAGGTAATCAGTGACCATAAAGCAGGCAACAATGTTGATAAGGCTGAGATCCAGCAAGTCTTTAATCATGGTAAAAGACTTATAATGAATGGAACATTCCTTTGGAACAAACCATCAAATTGCAACGTAAGATGGTTTTATCATGATTTAGGTTCCAACCATGATTAACCTACTTTATCTTTGTAATGCATACACAAAAGATTTTGAGCTAATGACTCAGATTAGTCTCCATGTCTTTGAAGCAATGAATGTTATGACACTCAAGCAGATTGCTTCTGTGTGCAGAATCATGCTGACCCAACAAGATTTATTTTTTAGGAAGAAATTTAGGAATAAGTTAACCCAGAAGGTTCTTCACACAGACATCAAGAGCATCGATGCTTCTAGAAAGCCAACCGATTATGACCTGACCTTTGAAGAGGCTGTGAATGTCATGAGAGCTTTTAGGAATGTTATCCATGATTATCAGATCTGGCTCAAAGTAGACCTCTTGATTAAAAATGCATTTATGACCGATCCTAATGTAAAGAATATGTCAAAAGATGACTTGATGGATACTATCAACACCTTAGCTTACAAGGAGGTTCAAAATATAGATACGTGGCAATTCCTAACAACCCACCTTGTTGGTAAGGTCTTGATACTCAACTCTAGAATGTATGATGGCTGATACCTTGAATTTACATGACCTAATGAGTGCATGTATCTCAATAAAATCTGTATCAGTGAAGTCCCCTGAGCTATACGAGATGTTAGTAGGCTACTTCTCATACAAAGAATACACTGTTGAAGACTTGTTAAAGTACAAGAACACAGCTAGGATCATTAAGTTCTTCAACTCTATTGGAACCATGCATGGCAGCTGAAATAATGAGTACTTTTTGACCGTCATGAGGGACTACATCAGCCACTCAATCAATGACTTTGATAGATTCCAGGTCAAGATCTCCATGGACCTTTTCAAGTTCTTTGTGCATTTTGAAGACGAGCATTTGAAGAATATCCTAGCAGAAAGATGGACTGAGTTATATTAATAATGAGACTTGGGAAGGAAATTTTGTGTGAGTGGGAGTCTTGAAGTTTGAGAAAATATTTCAATCTTTAGGGATAAGTTCGGGGTTTTGGGGTTTTGGGGTTTTGGGGTTTTGGGG